GGCCAGCTTCACAAGGCCGATGAGAAGGTCTGTGCTGAGGCTGCGCTCGTGGGCCTGAATACACATGGACACATACAAAGCAGATGTGACCCACACGGTTACCGCCTCTTTCTTTTCGTTGTGGGTGACGGACCGCATGTGTGCATACCTCATCAATGATCACGACTCCATAGTCGTCGAGGTTCTTGTTTGCCAGGCAGTAGTTGACGAGAGATGAATCGGTGGTGAAGTGGGCAATGGGTGGGCGACCCGATGTCACTCTGCATCCAGGGAACTTGGGCACTGTGATGGATTGCGGACTGCCGTACTCATCCCCTACTCGCTTGGCCAACATTGAGGCAGCTATCTTCCTGCATACACGCATACAGACAGACAGACACCCAGGCACAGGCACATACACACTGACAAGGCGTTCTTGTGCCGCGATGCCGCGCTGCGCTGGTACTGACCTTGGCTGTGTGCAAACGACCATCTTGGTGCCCGGGGTCAGCCCAAATCTCTCTGCGCTCTCGGACACGTACTGAATGATCTGCGTGCTCTTGCCGGACCCCGTCTGTGCTGTCACGATGACCACAGGGTGCCTCTCAATCGCCTCCAGCAGCACGCTGCGCTTGCTGTAAATGGGCAGACGATTGTCTGCGGTGGTGCGGAAGTCGAGGCACTTGAGCCGACGGCTGAACTCCATCTTGTGCATGTCACTCTGGAAAGGGAGGAGCTGCTTGATCTCTTGCGCCTCGATATCTACTTGTTGCTGAGCCTCCTGCAGCGCCTTCTGCTCATCCAGAAGCGCTTCAATCGTCTTGTCCACCTTGTCTGCACACAACCAGATGTATCTATCAATGGCAGTCATCTGACCACCTTCCCTTTCCTCTGCTGCCTACCTGTGTTGTAGTCAGGGTCGTCATCTATCTGTTCCTCCTTCCGAAGCTCGTTCTCCACATCTTGCTGCACCGCTGCCAGACGTGCTCCCAGCTGGGGCTTGCAATTGTCCTGGCATCGCTCCAGCTTGGCGACCTCCGGCGGCACAATGGGCTGCGGTGGAGGCGGCCGCGCTTGACGTGGGCGGAGTGGGGCGGGAGCCGCGTTGCTCGCACTGCCATCGTGACCGTTCCCGAGTGGAGAAGGTGGTGGTGGGGGTGGCCGTCGAGCACCCGAGGCAGTTGGGAGTTGGGGATGCAGGAACCCACACTTGTGACCCCTGGTGCAGCGGTTGTTGAGAAAGAAGTTGCAGACGATGGATGTGTCGTGAAGGAAAGGACAGGGATCTCTCGTGCATGCTCCCACGGCGTTGAACTGGCATATCTTGACGTGACGGAAAGCGCACCTATCGTTGCGGTAGCCGCTGGGGAGCTGATGGAACTTGCAGATGGCGGCCTGGGGAGCCATGGTGGGGGAGCAGAGAAGATGGAGGTCAACCTGGGGTCAACCAAGGAAGGTCGCGACGCCAGTTGGTTCGTTCGTGTGAGTTCAGCTGAAAATTCCTGGATCGCAAAAGGCCATGGGCTTGGCCGCCTAGGACATTCCGTGAAACTGCTCGGTGTGGGAGTGTGTTGAAGAGGGTGCTCCACCACTCCTCTCAGTTCTGGGGGATGAGCAGCTTTAAACACGTGGATGTGTCTGCGGTGTCCTGAGCGCGCGAGTCGACGCAGCGCATCTGACGAGTCATGTAAGTGCAATGAACACAAGCAAACTCACTGTGTTTCATCTCTTGTCTGTGCGTGCAGGCACACGGCGATCAGTGCGAGCTCAGATCTCCCAACGAGAAGAAGTCAAGAGTTATGGATGCCCTGCTTGGCCAGGGCAAGTACGACGAAGCAGCAACTGCAGCACAGGCGGCGCTCGATCAGCTGAGCGCCTCGCCTGATGCCACTGATGCTGCTTTGTTCTGTCTGCGGCGCCGAGGGCTGGTGTGCATCCTCGTCAAGGCGCGGCTGCGATGCAAGACCTTCTCGGACGTTGTGCAGCGCGTCAAACCATTGCGGGAGGCGACACAAGAGGAGCAAGCACTGCGGCAAAAGGAGATGGCGGCACTGGCCAAGGAGATCAGCGATGCCGAGCGAATGAATCATCAGGCGGCCGGCGCCTCGAGTCATTCGTCCGCCCGCGTGCTGCCAAGTGAGCTGCTGCTGTTGGTGGAGTCACTGATTATCCATGCAGATCTGCTCGACGCACTGGGGAGGACCGTCGAGGCAGCGGAGAGGTGCGAGTGGCTGTTTACTGTGCTGCACCTCTTGAGCACGGCCTGTCCTGCCTCAACAGCCGCCACATCTTGGTCACAGGACAGCCTGCAGGAGCATGAGAGGGATCACCAGTCGACGAGGGATCACCGCTATGTGGGTGCGGCCGCTGTTGTTGAGAACGCCGCCTTCATGCCGGCCTACCACTATGCCATCATGCGCATGCCACATCTGCTCACCAAGGCGGCGGCACACTCCAGGGGACATGCTACTCAGGTGAAGATGATGTCTGATTCGGATGACCCCGCGCCCCTCTTTGCCCCCGATCCCTGTCTATCTGCTCTCGTCAAGACTTGGAGGATGCCGGGGCACCGGGCAGAGGTCAAGTGGTGTTTCAACCGGCGCATTGTGCAGGCAATGTGGGCGTACCGGTCAGCTCTGCTGCGGCCGGTCTACCCCCTGCCGCCGGCCTTCCACAAGGCCCTCAGGAGTGGGCTGGCCAAACTGCTGCTTTACCACTGCTCTGACACCGACTACACCCCCTTGACGGGTGGGACAAAGGGCGGGGCGCTGACGGCCAGACATCATGACAAGGAGAACGTGTTCATGCCGCAGAGTCGAGTGGAAGAAGCGCTTCTATTGCTGGGGTACGGACCTAGGCACATGAAGGCGGGGCGGTCATCTGGCCGGCCGGCTGGGAATGTGTGTGGTGTGTGCATGCAGGTTGTCCGAGTCTGTCGACTTCTGGCTGTTGAGTCGCGAGAAGCAGACGGCAAAGGGCCAGGACGGTGCAAGCAGCCAGCAGGCATCAGATGACCCCGACAGGGACAGCCCCGGGGCCCTGCTGCTCTCGCAGGACCACATCCACATGGCCACCCTGCCGTCGACAACGGTTCAGACTCAGCCCCTGTGGCTACCCCGATGCGACTCCCACCTCATGCCGCCTCTGCCCTGCAACCCCCGCATCAACCCCTTCATGCAGCTGTGGGAACCCATACCGCCACTCGCAAAGCGCAGCCGAGGCGCTGGAGACGTCAGGACCACAGAGGAGGGCCTCTCCTTCACCGAGGGTGATCCGACTAGTCCTCACAGCGACGTCAGCCTCTCCCTCTACCCGCCGGCCCGGCTGCTGGAGCGCTCCATGGTCTTCTTCCTCAACTCGTCGGCTGCCTGGCTCCGCTTGTCGCTGGCCAAGTACGTGGATGGCTTTGTCAGCCTCACCATTAAGGCGATGGAAGAAGCAAACAGAATACACAACGTACGTAAACCTAACACCCACACGGACCAATATCACACACGCTAGCTAGTTTGTGCCCACCTCTGTTTGTTTGTGCAGGGTGAGGGTTTTCTGGCGGCGGCGGCATTGCTGCGGTCCGAGGAGGCGCGGCTCAAGGACCCTGGGAAGATAGCCAGGCGCGACGCCTTTGAGGACCTCTTCGACTCGGGCTTTGCGGTGATGTTTCATGCCACTGAGATGCTCAATGACGCACAGCCACTCAAAGTGAGATCAGCAAGGGCAGAACACATGGAATGCATGCCGTGGTTTATGTCAGCTGTCTGTCCTTGTGTTGTCAGGCCCTGGAGCTGCTGGCAGTGCACCTGCCAGCATTGCAAGGGGTGGTTCGCGGTCAGTGTCTGCACGCCATGGGGATAGCCCACTTCATGATGGCTCGTCAGAGCATCGTCGCTGACACCCGCAAACACCACTACAACACGGCCGAACAATTCCTCAGGGTAAGCTTGTAATTATCGAGGAGGAAGAGGACAAGGAATGGCGTCACTGGTTGTGATTGTTCCCCCGGTTACCTACCAGGAGGCGTGGAAGATGGACTCATCTAACGCACTGGTCGGCTTCTATCTGGCGTTAACCCTGGCCCACCTGAGTGTGGTGCCCCCCTTGCCAGCGCACCACCCCCACTCGCACTCATCTGCAGGGGGCAGGAGGGGGCCTGATGCCATCCGCGAGGCTCGCCAAGTGGTGGACAGAGTCATCAACCTCCCAGGCGGAGGCGGCAGGTGCCTCCCACAGGTACCACGGCAGGGAGGGAGGCAGGGAGGGAGGGGTGTGTTCAATGAGCAACTGTGTCTGTCGTATTCATGGTTGTCTGTCACCCAGGTGTGGGGTCTCGCAGCTCTGTTGCGGTCGATTGTTCTCGTGCGGCACCCGGACCACAGCCCCCAGGCACACAAAGACACGGCCAAAGGCGGGGGGGTCGCTACTGACAATGACAACACAGAGGGCCTCAGGGCAGCCCTCACGCTCATCCATGAAGGCCTCATGGAGCATCCCAACAGCTGCCTTTTGTGGGTCATCCGGGCGAGCCTCATGGCAGCTGGATCGCCGCCACCCAGCCACATCATTCCCCGCCCTCGGGTCCACCGTGAGGTCTCCCCCGCCCGCAGGGAAGCGGCCGCCCATTATCCGTTGATGTCTTCTGAGGCCCACGATCGCAGGCGGAGCGAGTCGGTGTACGAGAGGGCCCGCAGCTCCACGTCGGTCCGCAGCCACAGTGCCTCGCCGCGGCGGCGGTCTTCTCAGAGGGGATCGAGACTCGTGCAGCACCACACAAGGACGATGGAAGCTGTCCCGGATGTGCCCACCTACTTCGACTACACGCCCAAGGACTCCATGAATGCAGCCAACACTCCTGCAAAGGTGAGACAGACAGACAGACAGACAGACAGATCAACTGATGGGCTGCAATCAAATCGATGAATGGGATGCGCCTGTGGGTGTGGTGTGGTGTCTTGCTATCCCTGTCGGTTGGTTGCTTCAGCTTGCGGTTGAGACTTTGTGTCCTCCTGGCGGCGTTGCCCCCTCCCTTGCCGACAGCGGTGCAGTGTGGCAGCAGCCCGTCCCTCCCGACTACAGCACACAGGGCAATGCAGGAGTGGCGTCGGGCGAGCATGGCCCCGATGATGCGTCCTTGTGGCTGCTCAAGGCAGGCCTGGCCAGGCGTGTGGGCGCGCCCGATGCACAGGCTATACAAAGGGCCAAAGCACACACGCCAGCACAGACGCAGACACACGGTAGGTACGGTGAGTGAGTGGGAAACTGAGGGAGGGAGGGACACATGCCATGTGAGCGAGGAATGAATGAGGATGTCTTAGGTACTTTCTGTACGTTATTGTCTGTCTGTCTGCTGGGTGTTCTCAATGTTGGTCAGAGTCTTTGGGTGTCATGTACGAGTGCTGCTGGCTGGATGCCTCGGAGGGTCGTGTGAAGGACGCCCTGTACAGCCTGGACCAGCTGCTGGTGCTCCACCCACACCATGCACCCGGCCTGCTGCTCAAGGCCAGGCTGCTCATGGCCTCCCCTCACAGCGACGAAACTGCTGCAGCCGCCGCATCGTCACTTATACAACAAACCCTCAACATAGACGACATGTGAGAAACCAAACAACCTACCGCACAAGGAGGTGCGGTGCATCCATCGCTGGCTGGCTGGCTGGCTGAATGCGGGTCGTGTCACGTGTGTCGTGTGTGTGTTAGGTGGTCGGCTCCGCATTTCGCATCCGCCGAGGTGTTGGAGGCCGATGATCTGTATGAGGATGCCTTTGATGCACTGCATGTGGGCTACTGCGTCAAGCAGCTCTCACCACCCCTCACATACGACATATTCCCGGTGGCGTTTGGCTGCTAGAGCCTCTCGTGTGCGGCGGTCGTGTAATGAGTGTTTTGTCAGTGAGGGCTTGCAGCGGGGGTGGGGTGCTGAGAGTTTGGCAGGCGGGCGGGCGGGCGGGCGGGCAGAAGAATGAATGACTTGGTTGGCCATTTATACCCATGCGGCAGTGACATTCGGACGTACATCATATATGATATCATCATCGTATCTGGCCAGACATCTATCTGTCTGTCTTATGTACATAAAGTATAGGCCCAACTGCCGTAAATGGACCAAGGAAGCATCGCATTGCTAGAAGTAAGACCTCTTGGCGGCCCTCTTCCGCTCTCGCGCCCCCTGTGACAGGGACGCACCCGCTTCTCGCGAAACGCTGTCGTCGGCTCCTGGACCAATCTGAAGGGCAAGGGCAAGGACACAGGGAAGATGTGGAAAGAGGTCTGTCCGCTCCTCGGGAGTGTACCTGTTCGATGACCGTGGGCACATCCATAGGGATTGCATCCTCGTCGTAGGACGCACTGTCCCTATTCCGCCTCGCATAGCTGCGACGAGACGGCACCAACTGACACACACAACACATAATGCAATCCATCCATCCATGTCTCCATGACGGCGTGTGTCGTGGCGGCCTGGGCTACCTACCTGTAGAAGTCCGTCGTCCGCTCTGATCATTTTGGTGAATTCCTGTGCGTCTGAAGTCTCGACGTGCTGCTTGGGCATCCGCGGCAGCAGCTCCTTCTTGTGGAGCATCTTGCGACGCCGCAGAAAGGCCAGGTGGTTCTCGGCCTTGAGCCTGAAGTGGAGCTTCTTGAGGGCGATGCGGGTCTGGGGACTGACACAGTTGCGGCTGGGCGGCAGATTCCACCGACGTCGGCCACCCTTCTTCAACTTGGAATTCCTACACACACACACACACATACCCATGCGCCCGAAGTGGTCAGGCGGGCAGGTATGTATGTATGTGTGTGTGCAGCGACCTGAGTTTCTTGATGGCTTGGTGTCTCCGCTCGAGTGCAAGTATCTTGCGTATGTTTGATGTGGCGTATCTGAGGTCCAGGGGGTTGCCGGCCCGAGCTGCCTCCTTGATCTTCTTGACCAAGGGGATCGTTCGACGAGTGAACAAGGTTGTCACGCGACCTGCCATGCCAGGGAGGGCATACACACATTACATTGAAGGCACATTAATTAACGTGTGGACGGGAAGCACGTGAGGTTGCCTTGCCTTGCTGACTGCACTGGTTGGTTGGTTGGCTGACCTGCCTCTCCGCCCCTGGCTGTGCGTCCGACTCTGTGAATGTAGTCGGCGAGTGTGTGTGGGAAGTCGTACATGACGACATGCTGCACGTCGCTGAGGTCCAGACCACGAGAGGCCAGATTGGTGCACACCAACACGTTGCTCTTGCCGCTCTGGAACTCATAAAAGCTGTGCCCATATGGGAGTGGAGTGGAGTATACCAGAACAGACAGACAGACAGGGGTCAGCAATTGATATGCAGCCGTCCTTCCCTCCGTGGTATGTCTGTACACGTGTGTGTGGTGACGAACTGACCTCTTTCGTCTCATTTTGAAGGGCAGCTCTCCGTGGAGTGACGACACCGAGTAGCCCTTCTCCTGCAATGTCCAGTCCACAAACCTGCACACACACACACATATACATCAGTGGGCATGTCCCTCTCTCTCCCGCCCCACCCACCTGCAGCTTTTGACGGTGTTGCAGAACACCATCGTCTTGGCGCCCTTCACCTGCACAGTATCCAGTGACAATGGCCGTTGCCCTCAGTGTAGATGGTACCTACCATTTTTTCTTCGAGGACTTCGTGGAGTCGTGCGGTTCGTTCTTTGCCCTGAAGGGGTACGAAGACCTGCTGCAGTGCGGGCACGGTGAGGTGTGCGTCTGGGGTCATCATGGGCACGAGCTCCTCTCCCAGGTGGTTACGCACAAACGTCGACACAGCACCCGTACGAGTCGCACCCACCTGGCGGGCGGATACATACAAGCAAACAAGGCAAGGAAGGCACAAAGCACACCACAAGTTCACGGCGCTTGACTAGGGAAGGGTAGGGCAGCCTTCCTTCCCTCCACATCTGTTTACATACCATGACAATTTGTGGCTTGGGTCTTTGGTTGCGGTGGGGCCCCTGTTTCCTCAGCAGCCGTATTATCTGCAGCACTTCCTGCTCGTAGAAGGTGTCGCACAGCGTGTCGGCCTCGTCGATGATGAGGGCGTCGAGGTGGGTGAGGTGCATGTTGCCCTTGTCAAGGTGGAAGAGCACCCGCCAGGGCGTGCCGATGACGACATCGACCCCCTCCCGAAGCGCCTTGACCTCCTTGACGTATGACAGCCCCGCACTGCATGCCGTCGACTGGACGGGGAACTGCCGCACCGTCTTGAGGATCTGGGCGGCCATCTCGCGGGTGGGGACGAGTATGAGGCACTGAGGCTTCATGGGGGTGGCGCCCAGCCGCTCAGTGTCCTTGTCGATGAGCCTGTTGACCATGGGCAGCACGTACCCGAGTGTCTTGCCGCTGCCCGTCTGGCCGATGACCAGCAGGCTCTTCCGCTCCATCAACTTGGGGATGATCAGCTCCTGCACAGGAGTGGGAGTCGCCAAACCCAACCTGATCAATCAATGAATGCAATCAATGCAGTCGTATACACACACACAGTGAGAGCAGAGCGCAGGACTGCGGGTATCGCATCCCTTGCCTGGCCTCCTCTCTCCCCGGCTGGCTGGCTCCTTACTTGAGGAGTGCGAGTTGCACCTCTCTGGTGAAGGGGTAGCGGTGGAACGTTGACTGCAGACTTATGCGGGACCTCGCCTTCTCACCACTGCCGCTGCTGCTGCCTCTCCTTGTGCCATCGCTGCCGTCTTTCTCAGTCGCTGCAAACCGGATGTGCAGATTGCCGGGATCGTTGGCCACGTGAGTGGCCGTGCTGGCAAGCCGCACTGCGGGTGCAGTGGTCCGCACAAGCACGGCTAAATCGTATCTCTGGCGAGGCGGCAGGATGCGCCGACACAGCCTGGTGGTCATCTTAGCATTGATGCAATCAATAGATGGATGAATAAATGGATAGATCTCTGCCTTCTCGCGGTAGCTACCGCTCCACCGCGCGGAGACCCTGCCTCTTGTCGCCCCCGCGTTTGCGAGCTTAATGGTTGCAGATCTCTCGTTCCTCTGACCCTTTCCCCAGAGTCTTGAAAGGTTCCCTGCTTGCTGGCGGACATGTTGTGGTGCATCATCTATGGCTTTGCCTGCTTATTACTGCACAGCGCATGTGCATTTGTATCGCCCTCCCTGCCGATGCTTTCACCACAACAACGGTACGGTACACACATCACATCACGCCAGTACACTGCATGCCGTCCGTCCATACTCGTACATTGCAGCTTTTGCTTCCCTTCACTCAGGTTTCGTTCATTGTCATCACTGTCACGGTGGCGCAGGGAGAGGTCAGGGGTGGCCTCGGCAGCGTGGGCAGCCATCTCGATAGACAGCGCTGAAGAGCTGGACAAGGCCGTCAAGTCAGCCGATGCAGTGGTGGGCATGGCATTGCAGGCAGACCGCACCCCTCCCTGCACTGCACTTGACTGAGATGATGGTTCCAACCTTCAGGTAGCCATGTACTCCACGACTTGGTGCGGGCCGTGTAAGATCTGCTTCCCTTTGTATGAGGAGCTCTCCGACAAGTTCCCATCTGTGGTCTTCCTCAAGGTCGAGGGCGACAGCACCAAACAAGGGCAGGCACTCATGAAGCGGTACGTGCGTCGGTCTTGAGCATGCAATCCAGAAGGCCAGGGCGGCCACTGCAGCGATGGATGGGTGTGCGGCCATTGTGTGTGTCTGTGCGTGTGTGTGTATGGGTGCAGGGAGAATGTGCGTGCGGTGCCATCGTTTCATTTCTTCAAGCAGGGCAAGAAGGTGGACAAGATCAATGGTGCGGCCATGCAAGATGTGGAGGCGTTAGTCAAGGAAATAGGGGTCCTCACATAGCCTAGCTAGCCGCTCCGCTCCCGGGCAGTAGGTCGGTACGCATGTCATGTACGTACGTACGTACGTACGTACGTGGGGGGGAGGCAGGCAGGCGGGGAGGGGTCGAGGTGGGTGGCCTGGACTCACTTCATTCACTGTGCCACGTGACGTGGGGGGGTGGATGCGACCCCGTTTTGGCCCATATCATATGCGAGAGGACTGTGAGAGTGATTTATCGGTGTGGGTGCGTGCAGCGGATGACTGACTGAGCCGCTATGGAGCCTTTGACGCACAGACAGATGTATGTATTACATAAGGGTTTGAGAAGAAGCAGTCATGTCACGCAGCACAGCACGCAGCAAAATCCAGCCATATATGCATGTCGTTGGCGGAGCGAAGGAGACAGACCCCCACCAGACGCCGTACTCACACACACACTCACATGTACGTACATAGCAGACAAGAGTGTAAGTAAGTCAGCTGGCCACGTATGCATGGAGGTATGGTGTCCTTCATAGTCATCATCATGACGGTGAGTGAGTCAGGGCAGTGAGTGGGCGAGCAAAGGTAAAGCATATCGATCGCCGATAGGCAGCAACACGCACCCGACCCGACAGACACCGGTGGCTTGGTCAAGGCGTCGGTCGGGTGGGTAGTCCCCTCCATTACAGTCAATAGTCTAAGACTTGCAGGCGTACGTTCTGCACACACAAACACACACACACACACGATTACACCCACCCATCAGATGTGAGAGCAAGTGATAGTCCACCGACCTGTTCCACTCCCGAGCTGCAACCATCCCGTCCACACACACAGGCAGAAGTGACAGCACACCCATCCCACCCACACGGGTCTAGTCAAATGACGGATGTTTGTGTGGGTGCGGCAGGCCGGCCCACGTTGGGATGGTCAGCTTACCGACGTTCTCTGCGTCCCGTTTGTTCTGCTTGAAGTGGTCGGCCACCGATGTGTCCAGGGGGTCATCCGGCTCGGGCGACGAAAGCAACGCCTACATGGACAGATACGCATCCCATCCCGACGCATAAACAATTCAGTAGCTGGCTTGTAGGCATGCTGTGTGTGGGAGTGTGTGGGAGTGTGTGTGTGTGTGTGGATGGACGGCTGGCGGTTTGTTCATTGGCTCACTTGTATGGAGAGCAGCACGGTCCGTATTTGGAGTGCGGGGCTCCACTTGTCCTTCAACACGTCCAAACAAATGCGACCCAGCTTATCCTACATCGCATCCATGCAGCACGCCACCACACCACACCAGCAACACAGATCGATATACACAACCACCGACGGGCACACTGTGATGTGATGCGGTCGGTGTATTGC